GTGTTCTGGTAGTTGCTGATGCTGAAAAGTCAAGTGCAGGCTGGATTCTTTGAAACATAACTAGCAAAAATGGTCCAGAGACAGGAACCAACCTCTCTTTCATCTAAATCCTGGGATTCAGAGAACAGCAAAGGGGAAGCCCCTGTTTTTCCTAAGCCCTGCAGTTCTGTTATTTTGGTTCACGAAGTCCCACAATTGCCAGCACTGAGTGTCTGCCTTGTCCCTGCAGATCAGCTGGCCTACAGCTGCTTCAGCCACTTGATGAAGAGGATGAGCCAGAACTTCCCCAATGGAGGTGCTATGGACACACACTTCGCCAACATGCGGTCCCTCATCCAGGTGAGTCTGGCTCAGGGGTCTGACAGAAGACAGGGCTGGGGCAGAGGCTTGGGACTCGCCTGATGCCACATGAAGGGTAAGAGCTCCAAGGAGTGGGGCTCAGGTGTGACTTCAGAGCTGGCCAGGAGGAGTTGGAAGTGGATTTGTAGAGTTACAGCCTGAGAGCAGGGGTGGAGGTGGAGATGGACATTTGCCACCGGTTGAAAATCAGTAGGATCTTCACCTTGTTCCTTGGCCCTTTAAAGTCATGGTGAAGAGCAACTGTGACGACTCAGCTCAGCTCTGAGTCAGGGCAGCCAGGTCACAGCACTGGCACACACAGCTAAGGGCTGTTCCTGTGCTGAGCAGCACAGTGGGAGTCCAGCACCTCTGACCTTGGCTGCTTTCAGACCACATCCTGACAGCTGCTGTTTTCCTTTCTAGATTCTGGACTCAGAACTTTTTGAATTGATGCACCAGAATGGAGATTACACTCATTTTTACTTCTGCTATCGCTGGTTCCTGCTTGACTTTAAAAGAGGTAATAATGTTCTGTGCCTGTATTTTAGGGTTGTGTAGAACTGTAACAGCTCTGTGTTTTGGTGTGAGGGTCTGTCAGGATGGTGAGTGGCAGCTGGAGAGTTTGTAGCCAGGAAAGGAAATGCAGCTCTGAGATGAAACTGCACTGGAACGAGTCCAGGCTTAGAAAGGGGAGTTGCAAATTCCTGATGATGTGGTTGAAGCCAAGTTCCTGCCCAGTGCACATGCCTGTTTGCTCAAGAAGGTGATCCCACTCTTCTGTGAGCTTTGATACCTCCTGTCTCATCCTTGTGATGACAAGGAGCAGCTCAGCAGCAGCTCAGGAGCTGCTGTTCTCAGGGTGAGGTGCTTGTATGATCCCAGGTCCTTGCACAAGCACACTCCAGCAGAGTGTTGGTGCTGACAGCCCCACGGCAGAGCCACATACACCTGGACACACGTTCAGACCTGCAGCCTGTCTCGCAGCCCTGTAGGACAGTCCTGTGCTGCTCTCACGTGTCCCTTGGCTCAGGTACCTTCCTGGGCTTGGCTCTGCACCGCCCCACCTGCAGGCTGTGGTAGCTGTTCTTTGAGGCAGTTCTGTGCCTTACGTGCACAAGTGGCAGGAGCTGGCTGAAGGAGGGGGAGAGGGAAAGGAGGAGTCTGAGTAAGGCCTGTAGACAGAGGTGAGGCAGGAGGGACGTGGTCAGTTGAATAATCAGATGCTCTTGTAATGTTTATTCCCATTCAGAATTGTTGTACGAGGATGTATTTACAGTGTGGGAAGTTATTTGGGCAGCAAAGCACATCTCTTCAGAACATTTTGTCCTTTTCATTGCCTTAGCACTTGTGGAAGTTTATCGAGAGATTATCCGTGATAACAACATGGACTTCACTGATATCATCAAGTTTTTTAATGGTAAGAGCCATTTTGATAACAAGTAACGAGACTTTGCTCCTTCTCCCTTCCTGAGACTGTCTGGTGCAGTTCTTGTTGTGACAAACCCATGATCATTTTAAGCTCTAAGTCTCAGTGCCAGGTCCTGCAGCACAAGGGATTCATCCACGTCTTCTGTTTTTAATTCTCCAAAACCAACCCCCTGGAATGTTCCAGGATTGCTGCTTGTTACAGTAATTAATTATTGCTAATGCCACATGAATATCAGTGCTGGGCAGGTGCTGACAGTTCAGATGTTTGTTTGTGTCTCCTAGAAATGGCTGAGCACCACGATGCTGCGGAGATCCTGAGGATAGCCAGAGACCTTGTGTACAAAGTGCAGACACTGATTGAGAACAAGTGACCGTGGACAGGCTGTCCCTGGGGCCTCGCTGTGAGCCACTGGATGGAGCATTCCTTGCACTGTAATTCCAAATGGTGTTTTAATTGCATCTTCCATGTAATGTAATAAATTGTGAGGAGATAGTAACAGACTTTTAAAACCTGAACTTTCCCTTCACCAGATGAGGTTGGTGTTTGATAGTCCTTGTTACACTGACTTTGTATTTCTAGACAAAATCTTTTTGCATTCTCTATTTCCCTCTCTAGAAGACATCTGTCTACATCTTTGTGATGTTGAAAGGGGGGGATTTGACAAACTACAACATTTCTATTTTGACTCGCTGCACCTGTAAAGCCTGGATGCACCTCGTGTGCTCTGCCAGAAGCTGCTGTGGAGCCAAGGCTGGGCCCACTGCTGCAAGCATTGGATGGGGTCCTTGGAGGAGCAGGTCCTGGCCTCACTGTCTTTGCCTTGAACATGGAAGAGAATGTGTCTGAGCTCATGTTGCTAAAACATTCGGGTTTGTACTTAGCAGTGATTAAAGCTGATAAGGTTTCTGGCTGGAAGAATGGCCTTAACCTAAATGCCAGAGTTGATGGGAGCAGTGAGGAGCTCATGAGCTGGAACACCAGTTTGGCCTTGGCTGACTGACTCTCACTGCCCAGTGTTCATGGCCCACACAGACCTGCCTTTGTTCTGCTTTGCAAACTGACCCTGTACCACTCCCCGCTGCCAGGCCCTGCTGGGCGTTGCTCAGGTGAGCAGCTTCAGCCCACAGACAGGACCCTGCTCCCTGGGCTGTGCAGGGCCATGGATTCCCATCCCATGGAGAGCAGATGGCAGTGCCCAGCCTCCCCCAGCTCCTCCCTGCCCTGCAGAGCTTTCAGGGGGTCCTGCAGACACAAACCAGGTGCTGGTCTCTGCGAGCAGGACCAGCCCCTGCCAGGTACAGGAGCTGGTATTCCTGGGGGGGCTCTGATTGCTGCTGCAGCCCCTGCTCGGGTGTGGAGCCCTCCTGTGCCCCAGGACAGTCTGTGCCCCAGCCCCCTGCCCGGCCCTGTGTGTCTGTCTGTTCACTTGAAAACTGGAAAAGTATTTTTTAAAAGAATGAGAAGAGTGAGAAAAACCTCCAGCTCCCAGAGCCCAGGGAGTGATGGATGTACAGATAATACTGCACTATTTTCCTTTGGTATGTTGGGAATGTTCTGTACAGCTGTTTCACACAAACCCAATCTGTGAACTTTGCTGTATTTGTTAGAACATTCTGTCTGATTGGATTTTATCAATGTTGTGTATTATTTATTTTTGTTGAGAGCAGACTGATCTCTTTATTGCTCAATTATTTATGTTTAAATGTAACTTATGAATAAATACTTATCATCAAGGCATCCCATGGAGCTCTTTGGGAGCGATTTCTCTCTTCCCCTGAGGTGATTCCAGCAACAGAGCAGGGATGAGGCTGTCTGGGAGGACAGGGCAGGATGTAATTAATGTTTCTCTGATGAGCTGCATGGGCCGTAGTGCTAAAGGCAATAAATAGGTCACCATTAAGTAGACTCCCAAGGTCCCTTAAATTACTTTAAGGGCAGTTTTCATGTACCCACAGGCTGAGCCTGAGTCAGCCCAGCCCAGGAACAGAAATAGGCTTTTGACAAGTGTTAAGAAGTAAGTGTTTCATCCTGAAATTTTAGGCCTGATTGTGCTGCAGCTGCATTGAATCCATCACTCCCAGTCCTTGTTCAAACCCCTTGAACCCCTCCAGCTGTGTCTCTTCTGCAGGAGGGATGGTCCCTCCTCAGTCTCACCTGGCTGCTTGGCTGCTACTGGCAGTTTTTGCAGCAGTGTTCCAGTTTTTTAGGCTAAATAGGTCTGCCTGGAGATGAGTCCCTGGGGACTTAGAGAACATTTCCCCATTCCACCATAAAAAGGCCCAACAAAGGCCTCTGTGTGCTGGGGTGGGTGCAGCCATCCCTCAGCCACTGCTGGTTCCAGCTGCTAATTAGTTATTTATCCTTATCAACAAGGATCAGCCCTTTATGAAGTGCAACCAAGGACATGTTGGCCTAAATAAACTTCCAGTGTCCTCTGCGTTCACCTGTCTACATGGTGGGACTGGGGTGGGCAGGGTGCCCTGGGTGCTTACAGCTGGCTCTTGTCCCTCTGTCCTTTCCACACGTCCCCCACCATTTCCTTTGCACAGTCTCAGTAATTTTTAATGCAGTTATTTAGACCCGTGGTGTTCCCCCCAGCCCCACCCCTGACCTGCTGGCCCCAACACCAGTGGGGTTTGACTTGCCCAGTGCTGGATGACCGTCCACATCTGTCACATCCTGCTGGAGACAAGGGAGCGGGAGAAGCTGGGACTGCACCTTCAGCACCTGCAGGAGAGAGGGTTGCAGGTGAGGCAGTCTGGCCGGGCTGTTCAGCCCATCCCTGCCCGCCCTGTGCAGCCCCAGCCCGGCACAGGAGGGACACCCGAGGGGCTGCCTGCGAGGGCAGGAGGGTCCCAGCAGGAGGGTCCCGGGCAGGACGCTGCTCTGCTGGGGCTGCCGGGGCTGGTGGGACTCCTCTGCCCTGCAGCAGGGCTGGGATGGGCTCCTCAGCAGGAGAAGGCCTGGCCAGGGCACCGTTTCCCGAGTTCTCACGGATTGCTGCCGCCGCAAAGGCTTTGCTTTCCCCTGCAGAGCACTGCTGGATCCAGCCCCACGCACGGCCCTCGGGAAGTCTGTGCTGGTCCGGGCGGGCTCCAGCCCCGTGGATCCGTGACACGCACCTGGAGCGCCGCGGTGGCTCCGGAGGAGGGAAGGCATTGCTCTTGGAACTGGGAAATCACAAAGTGAGGGATCTGCATGCAAAGCGTAGGGAAGCAAATGCAGAAACCTGTTTCTGATTTCAGTGCATGTTTATTTCAGTTTTATATTTATTTCAGGCAAGTGCTTATTACATGGATATCATTCATGTTGGATACCTAAATTCTGGAGCATGAAGAGCCAATATTGTACAGCTGAATAGTAAAAATACAATATGTACAAAATTAGTTGCTTTTTCACATAGCAGATGTATCCAAACACATAAAAATCTTTACAGTCTAGTTTGTCAATATTCAGTATTTCAGTAAATTGGTAACACAGTGACACGTCCTCACTGTAAACACAGACTGCACCTGCCCAGGTGAGCGCGACACGGGGGCTCCTGTGAGGTGCAGGGGAGGGACGGGGGCTCCGGGCCAGCGATGGCAGCGACTGGGCTCACAGTCAGCAGCTCCAGTGACACATTCCTAACGCGGGGAGCACAGCGAGATAAAATAAATAAATGCTTTAGGCAGGAGGGGGGTCACATGCAGTGACAGAGCAGGGGGTCCCCGCTCCCACCACGGCTCCTCACCCAGTGATGGCCAGGCTGGGGCCTGACCAGAAGCCAATAAATCATTGGGTGGTCACAGTCGGTCCCTGATCTCGCTCTGTCAAGCCCCAGCACCCTTTTGGCTCAGGTTGTTAAGGCGTATCCATAAGGCGTTGGCACCGGGGCTCTGGCCGGAGCGTTCCCGTGGCCGGCACGGGCAGCACCGCGGCCAGCGCGGGCCTGCGCCTGCCACAGCAGCACAGCCTCGGGAGGACGTGCCTGCCTGCCTGCCAGCCAGGGAAAACCTCACAACAGACACGGGCTGGGAGTTCGGGCATTTCCCTGGGGGTGACTCCTGCACCAGCGCTCCCTCACGCTCCAATTTCTATTCACAGCACAAGGAATGGGCTGAACTCATGGGGCTCATCCAGAGCTAGAGCAGAACCAGCCGTGCCGCCCTGATGAGGAGCACCATGACATCCCACGGCCCATTCCCACCAGATCCCAGCACACAACAGCCCCGTCCCAGCCCTGGCAGAGCAGGGACAGAGGCCAGTGGGGCCTTCCTTCACTGTTCAGCAGCCTCAGGCAAGGAGTGAGGCAGCCTGCGAACAGCCAAACACAACCTCTGCCAAGACTGCACCATCCAGTGCTGGGCTGGTATTTTAATAGTTCAAGTTTGGATTATCAAGTTCTGTATAACAGGGACAGAAAGAAGCCATGACTGATTCTACCCACAGCCTATTTTTCTTAACACTAAACATCTGCTTCTAACAACTGATGTTTCACTCAGGGAGGAAATAACCTAAAGACAGTGTTATAATCCATTTTATCCTGTCCCAAATGATGACAAGGGATGGAAAATAGGCCGTAAGTATGAGGGTTTTCCTCTCCTCACCCCCATAGCTTTTAGAATCAAAATAAGACTGGAATGAACAACTATTCAGAAAAAAACATGCCAACTCTCAGAGCTGCCCACCTCCACACCAGCTCCAGGAGCCCTCTGCAGCAGCCACTTATCTGACTAAGTTAATTAAGCAAGTGCCTGAACACCAAGACAGGCTGAGCCAAAGTCCTGCTCAGGTACGCAGAGGTCACCGGGTTCATCTGGCCAAGGCTGCTCGCTCCACTGACACAGTGGGGACACTGGATACCCATCACAGAAAGCAAAGGGGCCAAACAAGCACTGACCACATCATCACATGGGACAGAAGACACCTTCCTCCTGACCCCTGGCACACGGCAGGTCTCCAGAGTCCCTTGTACCCACCCAACCTGGAACAGTTCTCACTTTTTTTTCTTTAAATGCAAAAAACACCCTCAGGATGCAAACCAGTCCAAAGAGACACAGGCTACATACAAAAACCAGACACAATAAGCCTTGCATTGCATGTCTACAGGAATCTACCAGGCGTGCGCACGGACAACCACACCGACACCGACACAGCAGCGACACCTCACCTCCACCTAAACCACCCAAAGGCATTTTTTTTGTTTCTTTTGTTACAGAAGGCCACTTTGAAATAAAACAAAGAAAAAAAAAGACAAGGAGCCCAAGAGCAGCAGCAGCAGCAGCAGCCGGCTCAGTGGGATGATGAAGGCCCCGGCCAGGCCGTGGGCACCCCGAGAGCAGAGGCCTCTGCAAAGGGCCGCCCGCTCCGTCCAGCTCTGCTCAAGAAACCAAAACAACCAAAACCCAGCCGTGCCCGTGGCCAGGGGCCCAGTGGGACACTGGAGCCCTTCTGGCCTTCGACACCCAGCGCCAGCACGGACAGACAGATGGACACACACACACACATGCAGAAGAACCCCGACGGCAGCAGTCTGGCTCCAGCCCTTATTTCCCCATGTGAAATGTGGGTCACCAGCTGCCCCCCGCGCCCCCAGGGACACACGGCCCGCTGCCTCTCGGATCCCACACAAGCAACTGCAGAGAAACGGGAAATCAGATCACTTCCCTTCCTAAGATAAACTACACAGATCTGGCAAACTTTTACTGGTGAGGTCAGGAATACATTCCTGTATCTAAAGTGTCAGCGTTAAGAGCTCTTTTCAGGATCATTCTAAAGTAGCGGTTTGGGTGCTCTGCCCTCTGCCTGCACTCCCTGGCAGGCCACTGGCAGTGGCTTTGGCAGGCGCAGCCCAGCACGAGGTTTCCCGTGGCCATTCTGGGGTTCTGTGCCCACACATCTGCCCAGCTGCAAACACCCCAGGCCGTGCTCCTGAGCTTTAAGCACAGCTCCAGCTCCTGAGCATGATTTGGCTGTTGGCAGCAGGACGTGGAGCATGGGCTGCAAGGGCACCTACCCTCAGCAGAACCATCTCCACTGACCAACAGGCTCCAAGCCAGGTGTGACAGGACAGAAAACCCTCTCAAACTACTATGCAGAAACCCCATTTTCTATTGTTTCTGTGGCATGGTTACACCAATAACTAATATTATTCAACAACAGAAGAGATTTCTTGTAAACTTCATATTTATTGGTTTTTTGGGGGACAAATTAGATCTTATGAATCCCCAAGTATACATATATATTTATATATAGCTTTCTCCATAGGGAAAACATAATTCAAAGGAGGAGAAACATTCCTAAAGTGCCCCTTGTCATACAGTACTGAACGGGATTTCTAAGAGCATCAGTGTAAATCCAAAGTTTCTGAGCAACAAAAGGAAGGGCTGTGGCTGCTCTTCGTCCCACAGGTAAGAGTGAAGCTCGCTGACTTTAAAAAACAAAAAGAAAAATCCCAAAGAATGTTTCTGGTAGCCCTGAAAAGGCAAATGGGAACAGGGGTACACACATCTGGAGCAGCTCCTGGGCAGGCCAAGGGAGAGGTTCCTGATGGGGAGGTCAAGACCCATGAAGGGGATCAGACAGACTGCATCGCACAGTTCCAAGGGGAAAGAAAAACTGGCCAGGATACAGCACTGGGCAAGGCAGGGCCACTCTTTGCTCTAGACAGTAAGGGAGGTCAGCAGCACCCCTGTCCATCCAGCACAGACCATTCAGGAACCCAGCAGAAGCTCATCTCCCTGGGGCTCGGCCAACGCTCCTGCACCGAGCACATTCTCAACCTGGCCCCTTCAATGAGGAGAATTTGTTGTTTTGTGAGTTGGAACAGTAAAAGAAGGCAGAAGCACACGTCCTCCCCCTCCTGACACTGCTGCAGAGGGCAAAGCCACACTCCCTCCTGAGAAGAGAACCTGCTGCACATACTCAGCATTGAGTTTCTGATGAGGAGAAACTGAGGCGTACCCAACCTCATCTCTCAAATACTGGCACACAATGGCCTCCTTGGGAAAGCACCTGCAGGGACAGAGGACAACAAAGTCCTGGCAATTCTGGGAATCTCCCCGTGTTAATGGTGCATTGGAATGAGAACAAATGATCTGCTTAAATGGGGTTCTATGAAAAGAAATCCTTCAAGGTTTGCCCACTCTGCAGGAGCTGTGCTGGCAAGCACAGCCAAGAGCTCCTGAACTCAAGAACGTATGAAAGAAAAATAAAACAAGTGGTTAACTGGGGCTTTATGAACAGACTTCACACAATTCCCAGTGGCACCTGCTCAGAAGGCACAATCACCCCTGACCTCTGCAGTCACTTCTCCTGCCTCCAGACCAGTTTTAACTGGGAACAGTGTGGAACAGGCAGATGTTCTCAATTACACACACCCCTGACACTGCTCGCACCAGTTCTCAACAGACTGAAGTCCTGCTAGAGTCAACAGGTCTGTTGGGCAGAGGATGGAAGCAGGAGACCTCGGCCCCACGCTGGACACGGCACCCTGAGGTGCTCAGCCACCCCCTCCTCCTCTCCCAAAGCTCCTGGGCAGATTTGGGACCCTCCTCCATCCTGCCCCAGCAGAACAGCTGCATTTGGCCTGCAGTAAGGACTGCGGAATACTTGCTTTAAAAAGAGAGGAAGACAGAATGGAGATCATTCACAGCAGTAGCTACATACTGTGCAAGGACCAAAACATTCAGTGAGCAGCGCAACACGTCCTAAGCAGCCTCCCGGGCAGGCTGGCAGGGACCAGCAGAGCCAAACAGCATTCCTCCTCTCCTGGCTCTCTGGGATTTGCCACTGCCCTCAGACAGGTCTGCCCCAATCACTGGGAAGGGGAACGGGAGGGTCCTGAGGGATGAGGGTTCTTTGGTGCACGTCTCACTGTCAGACACGAGCTCTCACACCGACCTCCTGCAGCAAACCTTATCCTGCATAAGGAGAGATTGCTTCCCTGTCAAAGGGAACAAAGCTGTTTGAACTGCCTGTGCTCTGGAAGGGAACCACATCCCCTTTTATCCCCTCCAAACCCACTGGCTCCCACACCAAAGCATGATCAGGACAGAACAAACTAACAAACATTAACACATGCAGCAAATCTACCTCATTTCTCTGTCTTCTTGTCCCAGGTTCCACTCACCAGGCCACAGAAATGCCCTGCAACCTGCCAGCACAAAGTGTGTGCCTCTGCCAAACAACAAACCCGAGAAACCTGGGGGGACCTTGGACCGGCAGGAGGGACCCTGACCGGGGCCATGCCATGCACAGAGATCTGCAAAACCAATTATTGCATCAGCAAACCAAGCCAGACCAAATACAAATTCCCCCAAAAACATCCAAACAAAGCATTGTCAATCGTTAAAATAATAAAAACCAGTATTTTTTGGACATAGCTATAAAATCAAGTCATTTATAAAATGGCAACAAATCAAGTCTGGTTGTGTATTCTTTTTCCTTTTATTAGACAGGACAGAGAATTTCCTTAAAATGCCATAACAAGTCACAGTGATTTTAGATGGTTTTTGAAATGTAATATATTGATGGGAAATACCTTAAACATGGTTTGACTTGTGGTTTGTTGTTGGGGGTTTTTTTGTCACTGTACTCTGGTCCACCAAACCATCTATCTTATAGTTTCTTGTTTAGAGAGGACACTCTGGCTTCTTCCTCCAAAAATGAATTTTGTCTCATAATCCTGCAAAATAATCAACCTTACAAAAGGCCTTCAAACGTTATATTTATATATATATGTATATACATATATATATATACACACACATACACACATATATATAAATATAGACTTCTATGATTTTTTTCCCATTCTACGCAATGTCTCAATAAAGAGATCAGCAATTTTTATTCTACAAAGAAGCAACACATAAGAGGGCAAAATTAAAGTCTTAAGAACATCATATCCATAGTTCACTCATTACACATAAAAGGAAAAAAAAATCACCATGAACAACTGTCTTTGAAGTTTCTCGGCGGAGCGGCCCCGTCCCGGCGGCAGGCCCGGCACAGGGACGGCCCGGCCCCGGTTCCGCGCCCCTCCTGCCGAGCCGATCCGATCCGGGCCGGGCGTGTTGGAATGTACGGAGTTTCCTTAGGAAAGGTTCCCAACAAAGACCTCGCCGGCCCCTCTAGGCCAGCTTCAGCGTGCTCACCGGGAAGGACGGCATGGTCACCATAGTCACGGGGTTCAGGACCGTCTGCCCGACCAGCTGCGGGTGATGCACCACCTGGGCCCCCACGGCCGGCTTGGCCACCACGGCCGGCTGGCCCAGGCTCGCCGTGCCGTTCACTTGCTGGTGCGAGATGGTGTGAGCGATGTGGCTCACCACGGGCTGGCTGACGGCCACGGGCTGGGGGTAGATGGGCAGCTGCGGGCCCAGGTGAGCCATGTGGTTGATGGTGGCTGGGTGCACAGTGATGTGGCCGATGGGCTGAGCAGCAGTGGTGAGTTGCACGGGGCTGGATGTGGAAGGTGCAATGTGAGCAATGTGCTTGGTCTGTGGCCCCTGAATGACGTGGTTGACAGTCTGGATGACCGAGGCGTGGGTGGTGGCGGTGTGGGCGATAACAGTCGATTGCACGGTCGAGGCCGCCACGATGTGAGTCTGTGCGGGGACGATCGCCTGCGGCGGGACCAGTGCCTGCGTCTGCAGGGAGGGCTGGGCGTGGGGCTTCTGCTGGATGGACACGTGTGGGGGCAGGACCGCGGGGAGTGGGGCAGCAGCACTGGGGGGGACGGCTTTCAGCAGCTCTGGGTGCTGGCGCTGGGTGAGTTTTGGTAATGAGTTCACTGGCCTGTCATCTTCCATATCTTCATCCATGTTGTCTTCACCCTCTGGAAAACACGAAAGGAAGAAACTCCCATAAAAACGCAAGCAGAGCGTGAACTGGACCAACGAGCCTCCCTACGAGGCAGCCATCAGCAGAAGAAGACGCGCAGGAGACGTCACTGAGCTACAGGCTGGTGGCACAGTGGCATGGCACGGCATGGCACAGCCCTCTCCTCACTGCCTGTGGGCCAAGGACACAGGGCCGGCCAAGTGTGACAGCCCAAAAACCCAGCTGGAGCAGGGTGCTCCCAACAGGCTGAGAGGTGGCACTGGGCAGGCAAGGGGAGCACCACGAACAGAGGCTGACAGAAAACACCTGGCTGAGCTGTCTGGGCTGAAGTGGGCTCCTTCTGGGAAGAGGAACGGGGTTTCTTTTCCTGGCCAGTTGTTCCACTGATAGGCACCACTCCTTCTGCTCCCAGAGCAGGAAGGAAATTGCCAAGAAGAAACATGGCAGCAAGTCTCTTGTCTGAAAAGTCTGGAAAATGGACTCTTGTCCAATCCAGGAACTAAGGAAGCAAAACAGGAACATACTAGCCCTGAGATTAGAAGACAAGCCCAGCACCCCACACTGCCTGTTCTAGCGCCAGCCATGGAGCAAGGAATAAAAATTTCAGGAGACACAGAAGCAGCAGGAAGACCAGGAAGACACTTCCCCTTCACAGCTCTGGGAAGCAGAGCTTGATGCGGTCGTTCCGGCAGAGGCCACTGCAGAGGGATCAGCTGGCACTTGTAAGGACAAAGCACTGCTACTCCAACTTCCATCAGACCACACCTGGAGCCTGCTCCTACCATCAGAGGTGATGAGCCTGAACAAACTCAGGATCTCACTTCCCAGAACCTGCCACATCATCTGCCTGGCATGCAAGAGCAAATGCCAACTTAAAGAACTGCTGTGAATGGTCCTGCACTGCTACAGCCTCCGTGTCTCTGGAAAACTCTGCATCCAGACTGCCTACTCTTCCTGCTGCAAATCCCTGGCGTGGAGAGAAGCATGCATTCTCCTCCCATCTCACAGAAACTTCTCGCTGGAACTGCATGTCAGATATCCATTAGTGTCATTTCATCTTCACTGTGAATCCTCCTCACACAATGTGAAGGCTCATTAAAAGTTGTTCAAATGCTCTGGTGGATCCTCCCTGTACCAAATCCTTCTTCCATATGTGCTGAACACCCTCCCACATCCACACAAATACACCAGGATGCCCACTTCTAATGAGCAGGGCTGCAGAGCTGTGCAAGAAAATACCTAAGTTTGGAAAGCAGGGATTTATCTCCACTATGAGGTCAGATGTGACAACCTGCATTTTGTATCTACCTGACACTGATGCACAACTTTCAGTTTACTTCACATGAGCAGCAGTGTGTTGTTAACAACATCAATCATTACAAAAACTCCAAAACCTTTTACTTTATTCTGAATGCAAAGAAACCCTGATGCTGCTAAATGAAGATCCCCACCACTCCATGTGACTACGTCAGTGATCTTCCAAGATGACTATGAAAAAAGAGAACAATTATGGGTACCTGATGCTGTCGAGGTAGATGCCTGGTCATCCTCTGGCTGAACTGTTTGTCGAATAATTCTGTCAATCTCCAAAACATCCATCCACTGGCTCAACTCGTTCTTCAGTTCTGCCAGCCGCTGCTGGGTAGCGATCTTCTCTCTCGCCAGCCGCTCCATCTCGTGTTCGTATTCTTTTTCCTTCCTCTTTAAAGTCTGAAGTCAGAGAAAAGAAAAAGAAATATAATGAGAGCAAAGACAAGAATAACCTACACTAATCTGGTCACTCCCATGTCCACAGCTCATTATTTTATACTGCCAATTATGCTGGTGTAAAATGTGTTCAGCTATATTGACACCTGCCAAATTCGGGCAGAAAGAGGAGGACAGGAGCTGGCACATAAAGTATTGCTCTTGTTGAAGGCTTTCTGCTTTCTGAGGGAAAACTGGTAAGCTCCCAAAAGAGAAATGCTTAGAGGAAAAAGCCTAAGTACTGATGAGCTTCTGGGCAACACACACCACACAAGAGCTCCTGACCTAGAGGAGACAGTGGATGGTAGAGCCAACAACCCCCTGCATCACGGGGCAATCCTGAGGTCGAACAGGAAGGAAGGGTGCATGCTGTCCTCTCCTGCTAATGCCCCCTTGGTGCTGGGAATCACCACATCCATTGGTAAGGTCAGGGGAGTGGCTGCACCAGTCAGCACAATACAGAGAAGCGTCCCACACTGCCCAGCACTACTGCTGGGAGATACAAACCACACCCTGCAAGGGGGATCAACTGTTCCAAGGCCTCTTCTGTGAGTTTTCAAACCAGTGTAGCACTGCACAGTCAGAGACCTGGTCCCCCAGCCCAGGGCCACACTTACTATATGCACAAGAGACAAAATTAGGTGAAACCTGTAAAACCATGTACACACTCTCCATTTTCTGAAGTTAAGTTTCACCACTGGGAATTTAAATCCCACACACACTTCTGAAAATACCAGCCACACAGAACCCACATGGATGCTCCTGTTCCCTCACTGCTGGCAAGCACTGAGCTCAAAAGCAAACCCCACACCTGGCAGTGGACCAGGTTCATGGTCTTAACACATCTCTTCATTTCTCTCTCAGGTTGTCCAGGATGAGTACAATCAGAGCCTGACCTCATGCCTTTCAATAGTTCTGCTGGTGCTGTAGCTCACAGGTTTGCTGGGAAGGACCTCAAAGCCCATTCAGCCAGCCTTTAATGCAGCCTAAGGTGACACAGATTAGGGCAGCTCCTGCCGCTACCTTTGTCCTGGTAATAACAATAAAGGAAGTATTTTTAAAAGAGCCGAGCAATGTGTGTTAGCAGGGCACAACCACTGCAGGTGTGTCAGTGGAGACAGCTCCTCTCCCTCCAGATCAGCTAAAAGCTCCTCAAAACAGAGGGTTTTCAGACAAAGGGGGCAGTTCTTTCTCTCCTGTTGCTTTTCAACCCAAACCAGGCAGCAGACAGGCCAACACTGTGATCCCACAGTTCTGTGGATCAGCAGCCGAGCAGCCCACTGCAGGGAGGTAGCCATGGGGACAGCCAGGAAGGAAGGATGGGGACTCCTGAAATCCTGCCTCTGCACCAGCCCTGACCTGTAGCCCAGAGATTCCCACGTGGCTGAGGCCCAAATCCACAGGCTAGTTTTAAAGTCTGTTTCCTATCAAGTGCAGCCAAAGCTTTTCGCCTGACCCAGAAAAGTCATGTGCTCTGTGTGCTCATTCTGTGAATGAGACACAGCAGGATGGAGGGGAAGGTGACGAGGAAGGTGCACGCTCCCAGATCAGGTTTAAACACTAAGGAGACTTGTGTGTAACTTGTCTGGATGTCTTCCCTATGTCACCAGGAAGGAGGCCAGCAGAAGGCAGGCTGAAGCCAAACCTGCTGTGCAAACATGAGCCCAGTCCCTCTCTGCAGCATCTCCCCAGAGCTGCTCTCCACGCAGGGCACGAGAGGACAGAACAGGAACAGCTCTCCAGGAGGAGCAGCCAGAGATCCCCGCAGAGCAGCCTCCACCGCAGCGGGCACAGCACACGCATATTCAAGCAGATTTGGCTTCACTCCCTGCTGTGAGAGGAGACTCCCAGCACTGGGGGAAAGCACTACTATGAAGTATGAGCAGGGCAGCTGGTAATTACTTACAAACTTTTAATTACTGGGAAGGCAGGCAAACCCTTAGCAAGCACCAGGACGAGTCTCCCAGCCAAGAGAGCCAGGGAATTCACTATGTCACTCTGCAGGCACTCCACAGGCTCTGGGACACGGCACTGCTCCAAGCCCAACCCTGTGGGCTCTGCCTCCCTCAGAGCCAGCAGTCCCAGCTCCTGACTGGTGCCAACTCCCAGCAGCCCCGTGCTGGGTCTGCATCTCCTCCTGGGCTCTGGCACGGCTGGGCGCTCTCCACGGGGAGCTGCTGGGGAGGCTGGATCAGCAGATGGGCTGGAGGCACCAGTAAATGTTTCAAAACCTATTCCGGGATGCAATTCACTGGAGCTCACTTGGTAAAGACAGATCTCCAGGCTGAGCTGCTCTGGCCTAGTAATGAACATGGTGGGATGAAGTGGAGCCCTCTTCCCTCTCCTCTGAGCTCCCCTCCCAGCACTGCCCCACTCCCTGCAGGTACAGGTGGCTGCAGTCCCCTCCCAGGCTCCGCAGGGACTGGGAGTGTGCCTGCACCGGGAGCAAGGAGAGCCCTGGCCCACTGCACACACGACACGACACGTGGAGGGACAGGAGCAGGACCCGTGCCCGTGAGGCTCTCCCCACAGCACCACTGCCTCCCGCTGCCCGCGGCGCTCCGCCCTGGGCACACGCAGCTCTCTGGCATCCGCCCCCTGGCAGATTATTTTCTGCAAATCATCCTGCCCACATCAGGGGCCAGGATCTCCCATCAGTCAACAGAAAGTCCACAGTGACAGCCAGCCCTGGGTCATTGGGACTGTGGTCACTGACCTCCCCCGGCACATCAAAACCTCTAGAGACACCCACTGATCCCCAGGATGTTCTTCTAAACAGGAATTTCTGTCAGCACTATCACCATGGATCCCATGCAATACAAAAACAGATGTTTTAAAATAACATATAACTACACAGACACTTTTCCCCAAACCCAAGCCTTTGCAATTTTCCAACAGTGGGCATGTAATGGTAGCACTGAAAAGGGCAGCAGGGACCCTAAAACTACAAACAACACAATAACTGAGAATTAAATTTTGATAAACGAAATCCATACAAATGCCCAAACACCTTTCCTTTGAAATCTGAAATTTCATTTAGGCAGAGGCTTGGGCCAGCTGCAGGGCAGGAGCTGCCACCTGACCCACCTCCACAGCCACTGGGAAGGACCATGGCAGGGGCTCACATCTGGTGCCGGCACCTGGGATGACAGTTAAGGTGCTCGCCAAGATCCTGAAGGACACACACTTCACCTGGCTCATGAAATACTGCTCCTGTTTCTGATCCTGATCACTGAAGTTACCTGCACTTCTATTTTCCCACTTTCTCAGGGAGAGGCCAGGCTGGCCCCAGGAAGGCCAGGCATGCCCCTCCAGCTCTGTTCTGTTGGCAGAGGGCAGCCCAAAGCTGGGGGTGGCCTCTCACTGAGCCCACCCCATCCCAGATGCAAGCACCAGGCTCCAGCGCAGACCCTCCTTCTTACGTCTGCGTCTCCATCACTGTAGCATTTCTTTTTTTCCTGTTAAGCAATTGGGAACCCTGGTTGCCCAGGCAACTGTTACACTGCAGTGTGAGGAACCTACAGAAGCTATGACTTTACAACTCTTTTATTTTTCGCACTTAAAAAAATAAGCATCACACAAAAGAGTAGGCCCTGGCCATGCCAAGGGGGAAGCTGAGCTACCCCAGGAAGAAATAATGGATTTCCTCATACTCTTGTGAATCCATCAAAGGATTTTGATGCTTGAGAAGTTTTGCAAATCAACTGCTGGCTCTGTGAAAGCAGATGATGCTCCTCTCTGAACGCTCTCAGTCCTGCTGAGCTGCAGCTGAGTGAGGACTCTGCAGCAGAGCAAGGGCTGGACCCTCCCCTGGCAGGCACAGGCACAGCAGGGGCTGCTCCATGTGCAGGCGAAGTGGTGACAGGGACACAAGGGCACTGGCGAGTCCTATCATCTTTTATTTAAACACCAGCAATCAAATTAAAATCTACATGTGGGTTTGCTTTTGCTCCCCTAGAGTATCTGATTCTCCTCCTGTACCTGTCAGCTCCTTGGCAGCCTTTATCCACCTGGATTATTGAAGCGAGACCAGACAACTGCAGTGACAGCTCAGGCCTGACACAATTCCAGTGGTAACTCTTCCCCACTTTGTGCCCACTGTCCTGGCTGGTTTGGAGCCACTATTTGGTCCTTGTGTGCATCTCCCTGTCATCATTTTGTAAACAAACCATACACCAGCTCCTGCTCTCCTTGAATAGCAACAGTCATTTGTCACTGCAAAGAATTTTCCATTTTATAGCTGTCTGTAATTAAATTGCTCACTCTCATGTCAAGACTGGAAATAATGCCCCCAATGCCTTCCCTGCACCTGCCTCAGGAATGCTGCTGGCCCTGTGGCTGGCATTAGAGAGGTTTAAAAGGCCTTATTACACAGCTCCCCTCATAAACATTTTATTAGCCGTTTAAAAACACACTTTCAATTATGAGTTTTCCAAAGCATATTTCAGCTCTTTTCTTCTTTTACATTTGCTGATTGAAAATACCCCATCAATAAGCAATCAGGAGAGTGATTTGCAATTTTGAGCCAGATCCTTTAACTCTGCTCTGGGGATCACAGCTGGTGCCAGAGAGTGGGACATGCTGAGCCGGGGGGTCCTTAGCTGCCACTGACCTACAGGGCCTCCAGCACAGACCAGACCAGCTGGTCAGGCTCTCCACTGCTGCACAGAGTTTTGATTCCTTATGTAATGGAAAAAACCCTACATCCTAAGGATCTTATTCTTGCTGGGACTGCCATGGTGCAGGAGATTCACAGCAGGAGCAATAATCCACCAACCTGACTCCAAAAATGTTCCAACCAGGACAAGAGGGATGCTGGGGAACAAGCTGTCCCCACAGAGTCCCAAATGGAACCCAAACAGCCCCAGCTGCCAAAACTTCACTGGCCAAGGCACTCACCTGTAGGATTTGAGGATTTTCCATCACTCCTATCAACTCTGGGCATTCCTACTTCGAATGGTGCT